ACCTCGTAAAAAAAAGATGTACAGTTTTTATGTATTTGGAGCTTTGAGCCAGACAGCACCAGCAACCTGCAGTATTTCAGACAGACACCTCCTGGCAGCTTCAGGGCCTTCATGCAAGTTTGCATTAACATAGAGGAAATGGTTTTATTTATGGAAATGCTCCTGATTTTTATCTTTAGTTCTAAAAATATCCTGTGATATTTTTTAGCCTTTTGTTGCGCATTTCTATTAGATGAGGAGAAATGTAGCATTCAAAGTGAACACATCGACTGAACAAGTCATTTGAATGGTGTAAGACTGCGTAGATGTCTTAGATCTACACTAACCTCAGAAAGTGACCTTTCTTATAAAACTGCATCCCTGGAGCTTTCAGTTTTTAACTTTTTTTGCTATTGTATCTTAATTTGAAGCATGAAACAGTTCTCATTGAGAAAACTAGCTTATTATTTGACATTTATATTATCACCTTGTGTGTGGTTTGTTATTCTCAAAAAATTCATGTTGTTTTCTGAGGCTCAGTTTTCAAAAACATGTAGGTACAATTAACTGTATCCCTTTGAGCTATCTATAGACAACATGAATTTGTCATCACACCATGTTGAACTTTGCTGTTTTGGGGGGATCACGCTCATTATCCATCAAAAAGATATATACTACACAGCTCCCGAACCGAGAATTGAGCAGAGCTGAGATGAGGGTGCAAAGTCTGTTTCTCTCATCGACGGAATCTCTAGGTCTGCTACGAGTTAGCTACGGTCAGCTAAGGTTATTCATTCTGAATTACCACAGTCAGTAAAGTGAGATCTAAATGTTTTAAGCAACATTTCAGCCAAACAAAACAACAATGTATGCAGGTGAATACAGCATGCACCTCCAATTATGGTACCCCCGTCCCAAAATTCAACACAGTGTGACGTGGCGTCACATTCTCTATAAAGATAATTCTGACATTAAAATAAAAGATTAATGGAATTAATCTGACTTTCTGTTTCAGTGAATAGACCTACTTGTAGGATGTTTCAATCAATTTGTAAGTCGGTTATAACAGTTTTCTTAGGTGTATTTTTTTAGAGAGGAACTGAAAATTGCACACGACTGTCTGCTGTCTTTTTTTTTTCTACAGTGCTATTTAGCTATTTTTGGATACTTCTGAGGGGACTGAATTCTTGAGTCAGCTATGCACTCACCATATAAACAAGAGGATTAGATCAGAGCTGAAATCATTGCTGTAGTAGTTTAATTGATCAACAGAAAATTGGTCCAGAACCATTTTCATAATTGTTTTGTCAAGAAAAATGAGAAATTTTCTTGTTTTCAGGTTCTCACATGTGAGGCTTTGCTATGGCAGCATAACTATGTGTATGCATGTGTGCGTGCATAAATACATATTTGTGGTTGTAGAGTGATGATTTAAGGGTTGTTGTTGCAGTGATGTGTTCCTGGTACAGTCTGAAGCCTGGCTGAGAACTGGCACTCTGGTAAAGTGTGTGTGAATGAGATTATAGGTCTCTGTTGTCGTATCCTTTCATTCACAAATTAGCTGCCTCCAAAAACTTATTCATCATGAGTTACACTCTGACAAGAGAGATAAACTCCTGCAGGAAGGCTCCTGGTGTTTGTGCCCTGCAGAATGTATGTTTTCCACAAGGTTTGTGGACTGTCAAAAGTGAAACAACAAGGTTTGTGGACTGTCAAAAGTGAACAGACCTTTTTTAAATAAATGAGTAATTCTTTATTTATTATTGAAATGTACAGAGAATGGATAATGGACATGATGCAGTTTGATTCAATAGCTCTGCAATGAATACTTCATATGAGAAGAATATTATGTACTATATTTGTTGAAACCGTCAAAAAATGTCAATTTTTTTTTGCTGTCTTCAATTATGAACAAGATTTCTGAGTCTTTCTCATGTTAATCAAGAATGAGGACACACATTTTGTCTTGTTGTGGCTAGGCTCCTTAATCTTAAAAAAGCCATATATCCACTACACACCATTTGGAGTTTAGCAAACACAACAATAATTTTAAATAGAATGTATGTATTTATAATTTAACTAAAAAGAACACACAATTTTGAGAAAAGTGTATGATGTACTTTAAGGCAGGCAGTGACACTTTACAGTACGGTCGACACAAAAACACAAGCAGTTATTGAGGAACCAGTCAGAAACGAATTATAAACGACCTAATAATATATCATTAAAAAGTAGTACATGAATAACTACAAATAAAGAGCTACACTGTAGATAATAATGAGCTACTTGAGAACAGACTGGGAGATACTATATTAATGAATCATTGGGTAATGATTAGTTCAGTATTTAGAGAGTAATGACCACTTTCTTTATAACTTGTTCCTGCACAAACTAGACTCATACAGTGTAATTCATGTTGTGAGGTGTTGGTAATGAGTAATTACTCATTACTTCATTATTAGTTACTCTTTACTGAGCGATTGCTAAGTACTATTCCCTCATTACTTTATGATTATCTGGCCGTTTCCTACCATTTTTGTGGCCCCTCAAGTTAACTGGTACATTATGCTACGTAGTTAGGAAGTAGTTCCTCATTCATGAATATGACAAGCAAGGTTTGCATGGTCAGCACAGTTCTAGAACATTTTAATCATCACACTAAGACCAGATGGATACTAATATTCACATCTAAACCACATTCTGTATCATTAGTGATGCAGACACCTTAAAAATAAATGGGAAACACAGATTATCTAACAGCAAGGAAGCGTAACATTTTGATAGATCGGTGTGGAAATGCTCCAAACACAAAATGCTTTCATAAAGTGTATTTGTGTCTTTGGCAACTACTCACATTTTTTGTACCGTATTGTGAGGTGTTGGCTGGTTGGCATTAGTGTTCGGTTTAAAAAAGAAGAGATTATCCTCGTAGGAATGGGTCTGTTGTTGTTGAAGTGGCTGCCGTGTTGCAGGCACAACAGAGGTCCAAGGGGCAGGCTTCCAGGGGCCCTGTGCCTTATAGATGCTGTCTAATTAGTGAGATTGGTTGATGTTGCGGATGGTCCTGGTGCGACTGGGCTGGGCTGTTCTTAAACACCACCAGTCTGATCTGCGACCCTCCTGAAATTAGCCCATTGTCTTCCTGTCGCCTCTGTTCTGATGGTCTCATGGCGTCCTGCTGAGCTCAGTCAGAAAGGATATTTGTTTGGATTCCTTCATATGCAACACTGAGTCAAAACTGTTGTTTGTTAAATGAATGTGACTAAAAACAGACAGCCACAATAATTACCAGTTCTGGAAAGCCTGGTTTGTACCAAAGTGCTGCTATTTATTGCCTCAGCCTTATTTGGAAAACAGCCAGTAGATCTATTCTTGGAGAAAGAAGTCAGGCCAAGTGATAATGAAACCACAAGTATCCAAATAAAATATATTCAAGTGCATGTTTACACAATCGTTTGTCTGATTTCTCCAAGGAGAGCCGGAATCCCAAAGTGAGATGAGCAGAGATGATGCACTGGTTGTTGTGCAACAGCCTTTCATGTTGCTAGTGGTGAATCATCAACTAGTTGACTGCCAGAGTGTCTAGCCTAGGTTTCACTATCGCTCACTAGCAGTCCTCATAAACTAATGAAACAAAACAACACAAATTCAGTTTCTCCATCTTGCTGCTCAGGATCGTATTAACTTGTGTCACTGAGAGGGACATGTTAAGACTAGTGTTGAACTTGAGGCTTCTGTAACAATAGGACAGAGGAGAATGAAAGCTTGAACTTTCACCAGTATTGGTGAGTATTGACAGAAGGGCTGTATGATACTGTGGTGGGCCGTGCATTTCACACCTAGGCCTTCAGTGGTGTTCTACCAGAATTAATCCACCTCTTAACACCACCATTATAGCTTTCTGTTTTCCTGCACACTTGTTCACTGAGCTGTATATTCACTCGGGTTTCCCCAAAAGTTCTCAAAAGCGCCATTGCTTTCGTGTCTCGCTACTGCCTTGGTTAGACAACTCAAGTGTGCATTCCCAGTGTGGCTCCAAACACCAAGTCACCAATCAGCTGCAAATAACAGGCATTACCAGCAATACAATTTGCAGTGCTCCTTGGAGGCTGTGAGCCAAGGATACCCCTCGTAGTTACTGAATTGAAAGTGGTGGATAAACCCTTTTCCCTGGCTGGGACAGGCTTGCTAGCTTCAGGGTTGGCCAACCTTTCCTCACGATATCCAGCTTTTCTTGAAAAGTCCTTCTTGAAAATGGCTGTATAAGTATATCTGTGACCAAATCAATTTCTTCTCCTCTGTCAGCCATTGTGGGTTGAAAAACAGCTGTTAATTGTACAGGAATATATTTTAGCTTGTGCAGTTTGCTACAGATGCAGTTTGCTAGCTCTGACTAGTATGCTCTCGGACAATCCCATCAAAGGACCTGAAAATGCTGACATTACTGTGTGCCTGCCAGATGGCCCTGGTGTCGCCAACTTGACACCTGATTGGTTAAACAATAGTTTCATTGCCATTTATTTTAAGCCACAGGTGCCCAAACTATTGATTCTGAAGGCCTCAAGGCAGATTTCTTTGACCCTGGCAGGACATGATGGCTGAAATATGGTTGGATCAAAGCTGTAACATAAACATACACTACTGGAAGCAGCACAACCAAGACAAAAGCAATAAAATGAAGAGAATAGACTATCGGGAATAATTTAATACACATTCATGGAAAAAATAATAAAACATAAGTCAGTGATTCTGATAGTGTTTAGGCCAGCCAAGAAGGCCTTGCTGGCCCTGACGGCCCACCACTGGTATGATATCATTTTTCACAGATCCCACATGTCTCATACAGGAGTTCTTGCTCAACATTTCTAAACACTGCTTGTGTGAATTTTCCACACTTTGAATAAAAACTAATAATATTATATTTGTCCATTGTTTGGTGATGTTAGAGGATATCAGGCATGTAGGGAATGATTTCTGTCTGTGCATGTAAAACTAATTCTGATGTTTCTTTCTTATCGCAGCAGGCCTATGTGTCCTCCGGCCACCAGATGGCACCCCCCAGTCCCAACACAAACAGTAGCAGCAACAGCAGTGGCGGCGGAGGGGAACAACTGAGTAAAACAAACTTGTACATCCGCGGCCTCCATCCAGTAAGAAGTGACGAGGAGGCTCAGCAGTGGTCGAGATAGAAATAAGATCATTACACATGGTTGCAGCATGTACATGCTACTCTATATTGTCATCACGGTGTGGTGGTGTTAATGATCTTCTTAAAGTTGCCTTGTTTCTGGTTTGTTTTGTTAAACAAGCCTGAGCTGAATTCAGTTTCTCCATCTTGCTGCTCAGGATCGTATTAACTTGTGTCACTGAGAGGGACATGTTAAGACTAGTGTTGAACTTGAGGCTTCTGTAACAATAGGACAGAGGAGAATGAAAGCTTGAACTTTCACCAGTATTGGTGAGTATTGACAGAAGGGCTGTATGATACTGTGGTGGGCCGTGCATTTCACACCTAGGCCTTCAGTGGTGTTCTACCAGAATTAATCCACCTCTTAACACCACCATTATAGCTTTCTGTTTTCCTGCACACTTGTTCACTGAGCTGTATATTCACTCGGGTTTCCCCAAAAGTTCTCAAAAGCGCCATTGCTTTCGTGTCTCGCTACTGCCTTGGTTAGACAACTCAAGTGTGCATTCCCAGTGTGGCTCCAAACACCAAGTCACCAATCAGCTGCAAATAACAGGCATTCCCAGCAATACAATTTGCAGTGCTCCTTGGAGGCTGTGAGCCAAGGATACCCCTCGTAGTTACTGAATTGAAAGTGGTGGATAAACCCTTTTCCCTGGCTGGGACAGGCTTGCTAGCTTCAGGGTTGGCCAACCTTTCCTCACGATATCCAGCTTTTCTTGAAAAGTCCTTCTTGAAAATGGCTGTATAAGTATATCTGTGACCAAATCAATTTCTTCTCCTCTGTCAGCCATTGTGGGTTGAAAAACAGCTGTTAATTGTACAGGAATATATTTTAGCTTGTGCAGTTTGCTACAGATGCAGTTTGCTAGCTCTGACTAGTATGCTCTCGGACAATCCCATCAAAGGACCTGAAAATGCTGACATTACTGTGTGCCTGCCAGATGGCCCTGGTGTCGCCAACTTGACACCTGATTGGTTAAACAATAGTTTCATTGCCATTTATTTTAAGCCACAGGTGCCCAAACGATTGATTCTGAAGGCCTCAAGGCAGATTTCTTTGACCCTGGCAGGACATGATGGCTGAAATATGGTTGGATCAAAGCTGTAACATAAACATACACTACTGGAAGCAGCACAACCAAGACAAAAGCAATAAAATGAAGAGAATAGACTATCGGGAATAATTTAATACACATTCATGGAAAAAATAATAAAACATAAGTCAGTGATTCTGATAGTGTTTAGGCCAGCCAAGAAGGCCTTGCTGGCCCTGACGGCCCACCACTGGTATGATATCATTTTTCACAGATCCCACATGTCTCATACAGGAGTTCTTGCTCAACATTTCTAAACACTGCTTGTGTGAATTTTCCACACTTTGAATAAAAACTAATAATATTATATTTGTCCATTGTTTGGTGATGTTAGAGGATATCAGGCATGTAGGGAATGATTTCTGTCTGTGCATGTAAAACTAATTCTGATGTTTCTTTCTTATCGCAGCAGGCCTATGTGTCCTCCGGCCACCAGATGGCACCCCCCAGTCCCAACACAAACAGCAGCAGCAACAGCAGTGGCGGCGGAGGGGAACAACTGAGTAAAACAAACTTGTACATCCGCGGCCTCCATCCAGGGACCACGGACCAAGACCTGGTCAAGATTTGCCAACCGTGAGTGATTATGTAACTTTTCCCCTAAATGAAGCAGCAAAGCAAAGTGAAAGGTGAAAGGATGTGACCTCACATGAAGCCTGAACCTCAGTAATTCCACATCATGTGTCTAAAGTTTAGAGAAAAAGCTCCTCTATCTCATTTTTACACAAAATAAACAGTTTGATTCTTAATAATGTAGTGTTGTGATTGCTTAGAACTATGGGTTTAATTTGCTTTTGACATGTATTTCAAATGTGCCACCCCCTCTCTGAGTCAGTGCCTCAGCCTGGCCACCCCGTCCAAAATTTTCTAGATCCGCCACTGGTGTGAAGCTAGAAGCAGTAGCAGGTTATTTTAGTTCAGCATAAAGACTGGAAGCAGAAGGAAACCACCAGTTTCACCGTCTCAAAGCTTAAAAAATATACCTACCAACAGCTCAGGAGTTATGTGCTGTCATTAGGGGTGTGACGACATCTCGCGATATTAAAAACGTGATGATATTTAACGTAAAAGTTAAAAGCTAGGTGTGAAGACATCTCGCGATATTAAAAATGTAATGATATTTAACGTAAAAGTTAAAAGCTATCTTGCAGGATCAGTTCATAACAGAACCAGACCAGCAGTCAGCGTTATAATGGGACAGTTAAAGAAGGTCACACAAGTTCATTTAGAAGCTAGAAGCTCATGCGGCTGTGGCTCAGAAGGTAGAGTGGGTCGTTTCCTAACTGGAGGATTAGCGGTTCGATTCCCAGCTTGTGCAGTCAACATGTCAAGGTGTCCTTGAGCAAGACACTGAACCCCCAGTTGCTCCCGGTGATGTCACCGGTGTGTGAGTGCTTGGGAGTGCGAATGGGTGAATGGCCGAATAATGTGAAAGCGCTTTGAGTGTGCTGTAAAAGGCGCTATACAAGTATAAGACCATTTACCAAGACCATTTATGGTCTGAAGAGACTTGTGAAATCCTACAGGAGAGAAGCCAGTCAGTTGAGTTTGTGGCATTGCCTTTTACAGTTCTGCATATTATTGTCTTTTACTGCATATGATAATTCATAAAGCAGAACTAAAGTGACATTCATTAGAAGATTAGTTAAAAAGTTTCAAAATGCACCAGCACTGTTTTGCATTTAGTGACTTTCAGTCGAATAAAACACTTTTTTCTAGTCCTATATTTTGTCATTGAAGATTTCTTATAATTAGTGTTAAACTATCATCTCGTTATCATTCTTGTGAACCCAATATTGCGTATCGTCTCTTCTTGTGAGCTAAGTGTATTGTCGCACCCATAGCTGTCTGTTTCTTGGTGAACAACAGCCAGGAGCAGTGATTTCCCAAAGTCTTGTTGAGGTGCTGCCAAACCAACCAAAGGTAGATGAAGGATAATAATTAGGCAAGGCATGTCTTAAGTGCTGGCTTTAAAGTGAGAAATGTAACGTTGTATCAGGCGTGGTTTCTGGTATAGTGTACCTTCTTTATATACATAAAAGCCAATGTTAACTTCAGGCTTGTTACAGTTTTGTTGTATGTTCAGAGTCGATTGGATCAAAAAGGTTCTGGCTTCACCATAGTATTTATCCCTTTTTATTGAATCAGACTGTACTCATAATTTTATGTTCTGAAAATTGAGCTCTTTAGGCAGGCAGGAAGGAAAAAAGTTACATTTCATATGGATGAAGTTTGATTACATTTTGACAGTCTCAGGAACACAATAAATGTTCATCAAAACAGTAAAGTTTTAGAGGGAAATAGAGGAATGAGAGAATGAATGCAGAGGAGAGAGGGGCAAAGAGGGAGAGAAGGGGCCAGAGAAGGGGCCAGCATGCTGCCTCCGCATGTCGTGATCATACCATCTAGTTTTTGTGAGGTTGAAATGGTTCAAGTGAACTAAGACTTACATACTCCTAAACAAATAGCCTTGCCTCTACAGTATGTTGACATTACGAACACACACACAGAAACTGATATACAACACTCAAACTGGTTTTGGCTGCTGCAGGTCAGGGCTACACTGTCTATGATTTGTGAACTTTTGCCATGCAGCCATCATTTCCACAGGTCAGGCACAGAAACAACATGCCTCCCTGAACAAGCACTGCCCAGAGCTAATAAAACCTGACTTGATAGTACTCTGACAAAACAGCTGCTCCATATGATCCTACATGAGGAAGCCTCAGAAACATCAAATCCACAGGGAAAATGTACATGGCTTATATCTGATAATTATGTTAATACTGGGTGTACTGTTGCACAGGTGTATTGTCAAAGCTTGACCACTCAAGGGGAACCTGGAATCTGTGGTTGGTTTGAGAAACACAGGGACTTGAGTGAAAATCAAGAGACTGACAGAGAAGGCATTATGGAGTGGTAGAGAAGTGGAGGAAGGACAGAGGCTGCAGGGGTGGGAGGGCTAATCCTGAAGGGGAACTTAAATGAGTGGGAAAAGAGTAGCGTGGCCTGCTGGGAAAGAATGTCAGATGGCCATATATGGGTCAGAGCTGCCTTTTGAGTCCCTGTGGCCTGTACGGTGTGGTGGGCTGCAGTTCTGCTGCAGAGGAAGGAGAGGGTCGCACAGTCACTGCCTTCAGACCTTTGAACTATGCTGGCATCTCTGTCAGGGAAAACATGAAACACAGCTGTTGTTCTTCTTTGTCACACTTCTAATACAAACTGAAACTGATCAATAGGACTTCAGTGTTTGCCAGTCTGGAGGTATGAGCTTGAAACCAGGACAACAAAGTCAGCAAACTTAAATGCATCAAAATTAAATTACCTGCTCATTTTTGATCATTTGTACAGCTGATTATTCCAGTGCATTTTGTACCTCACATACCTAAATCATTATAGTATGTACAATACATGATGGGAAATGGGACCTGCCTTCCTTTTCTCCCAGATCACATGGCTCACATGTTCTGTTTTCCTCCTCAGTAGTTAAGAAGCTGCCATTATCCACAAAAAGAGTTCCAGTTTTCAACTGTGCGCCTAAAGATCTTTGGTTTCTAGATAACTATGATGTAATATGTGATTAAAGGATAAGGTCAGCCATTTTCTATATCAGCAGTATTTTCAAGACTCCCCATACACAGACTAAAACCAACAATGAATTGCCTCTACTCCCGGTTAATGTCTGGATTATCTTAATCGTCTGTGCCACAGACCTCTGATTAAAAACATGTCAGGGAAACACACCACTGTGCTTTTTTTGTTATGAAATACCAGACCTGCTTATTTGCTAAAAATGTTGTCACTAAAACTCCAAACATGCATAACTTTTCATGATATCTGAAGTAGCAAGAGTCAACTACGCACATGCAAGATCTCCATGAAAGCACGAGGAGCTGGCAGATTGTAAACAAAGCGGAGAGCTCGTACAGAGATTTTGTGCATGCACAGTTGACTCCTTGCTTAATTCAGACATTGTTAAAAGTTATGCTTGTTTCGAGCTTTTGCGGCAACATTTTTAACAAATATCCTGGGTTTGTGTTTCATAATGAAGAAACGTGTCCCGCACTGATGTGTTTTTAATTGTTTTTGAAGAACAACAGACATCTATGACACAGACGAACAAGATAATCCAGGTTGGAGACTGACAGACATTAACTTTGAGTGGAGGCAGTTAGTGTCTGTATGGGGAGTGTTGAAAATACAGTTAATATAGAAAATTAATGACCTTATGCTTCAGTATACTATTGTGCCATTCATTTTGCATTGAAAAAGTAAACAAGTCATCAAACCATGAGTGTGGATTTCACTGTTAAAAGATGCAGAAAACAATATAGTATTAACATAATTTTGCAAAGATTTCAAAATTTGCATACACATCATATATATCTGGAATCATGAACTTGCTTTGAACATGTAGATACAAAACGTGTTTGTGCATGCAGATTTTTTTTTTTTGATAATCACACCTTTTCTTATCAGATAAATGTATTCATGAGTCAGGAATGAACACAGAAAACAGAAATAGCATAAAATTAGTATCCAAGGGCTATGTTTGTCTGTGTGGGGCTCTTCTTAAATACTGCACTAGAACTAGAGGTACTATATGGCTTTGTTTTAGCTCCAAATCTTATTTTCTATAGTGACTTGAGCAGTAGTAGACAGTACATTGTATATGTGTGACTGATGTAAATGCCTCTGGGTTAGTGCCAGAAATGGCTAAAGGAAGTTGGACTTGAATGGGTTAAATTATATTAATCTTGTGTATAGCATGCCTAATGACTGCTTTGCTGCTGTTAGATGGTGGTGGGAAACTATAAACATAGCCTGTGCAAAGGTCACTGGGCTATTTGGTAATGGACAATGAATTATTCATGTCTGCAGCAAGGAAGTTTTCTTTATAATGTGTCTGTTCTTCATGCCATTTTTCACAATAATCAGGATCACTGAGTCTTGATATCATTGAAGTAATATAATTACTCTGCCCATCCAAGTTATGGCCTGTTGTGGTAGCTGAACACAGGCCATGAACTTTGATCACATGTAACTTTGTGACTGTTCTTGTTTCGTGGTCTGGATGGATATGGCCATATTAGAATCTATAGCATAAATGCTTTAGATTCCATTGTCAGTTGTGATAGAAATCTCTGCTGTGGCTGGCTAATCAGATCTGAGTCCCCTGGGCAAATGTCCACTGAAACGAGGTGGGAGTGTGGGACCCAGCGGTGTGCGGCAGTGTGAGGGTGGAAAAACAGAGAGAGTGAGAGGAACATGGTGGGAAGGAAGGCGAACCAGAGGGGTGAAGCATCAGGTTACAGTGTACATTCCGCCCAGACGCCATGTCGCCCAAACAGAGGAACACCAGCCTCCCTCACTGGCTGAATTCACCAGACAAGGGCAGGTCTATTATACTGAAGCACTGATGCACCGTCTTATAACACTGTATTCCATTAGTCTCCACGTCTTACATAACACTTGTCAATTTCTACTTTTAAGATGATTTTCATAGCATGAATCTTTTATGTTACTGCATCAATGCATTAATTGATTCTGTGGACTGAATAACAGGTTAGGACACAAGTTTATGTTAAAAAAAAACATATAACTTCTTTTTTAACTTTGAAAGTCAGTATTTCTGTTTACAAGTAAAATACTGACAGCTTTATTTCAGCCAGTGTGTGTGTGTGTGTGTGTGTGTGTGTGTGTGTGTGTGTGTCTGTGGTGGTGGAGACAGGCCTTTGACGATTAGTTTTTGGCCCTGGGGTGCTGTCTCCTGTCTGTCAAAAACAATGACAGGTTTAAGGTACTGTACACAGCTTTCAGTGACAAACAAGAACAGAAGGGTGGAGGCAGGCAAAGTTTTCTGTGACACTTAAGAGCACATTAGGACACAATAAATTACAATACACAATAGATTGTATGAAGGAGTCTATAGTCATGTTTACACCTGTAGTCATGCAGCCTGAGGAAGTGTAGCAACAGGATTGGTATGCATGTGGTAGGAGCAGATTCTTCTCTGTACAATCTCATCACCTCATCTGTCACTGATCCTGTCTTCTGCATTCTTGTTGTCCTTAAAGATATGGCAAGATTGTGTCGACCAAAGCCATCTTGGATAAAACCACCAATAAATGTAAAGGTGAGTTGTGTCATTTCAGTTCTTTTTTTTAAATTTAGAGTGTTTTGAAGGTTTGAAATCACTTACACCAGGGGTTTTGGCTGTTTTGTTATTTAGGGACCAGACCAACATACTGGGACAAAACTTTGTTCATTTTTTTTGCTGTGTCATGTGGGGAAGGTTAGCTTAGCTCAGTCTGGAGAAGGAGAAATACCCTGTCTCTGTCTGAAAATCAGCACACCTGAAGCTCACTAATTAACATATTGTATTTTGCATTAGGCTAGCTGTTTCTCCCTGCTTCCAGCCTGTAAGTTAAGCCAAGCTAAACGTCACCTGACTTTAATTTCAGACTAAATTATGGGTATGAAAATGGCATCGATCTTCTCACTTAACTCTCAAGAAAGTGAATAACTTTACTTTAAAAAAATGACAGTAATTTTAACATAAATTTGGTCTGTTTTACAGGGTATGGCTTTGTGGACTTTGACAGTCCAGCAGCAGCACAGAAAGCTGTTACAGCTCTTAAATCCAGTGGGGTCCAGGCTCAGATGGCCAAAGTAAGAATAAGCTGGCTCTTCATCACCTCTGTTATACAACTACCACTTCTTTAACCCCCAAATTTACCAGTCACTGTTGGATGTATGATACAGTCTTGTTTCTAAAATGCATTGATCACCAAAGAGCCAACTGCTGAACTTCAAAAGTTGTAATCCCTATTTGCAAAAGCCCTATCTTGCTCACCCTATCGATCATGTAAAAGGTAAACTGTTACATAACGTGGTCTGACTGGCAGTTACTGTCCTGTTGGCAAGGGTGCAAGATAACCGCTGATTTATGGGGAGGTGTGTTTCCCTGTGTTCATCATTGGGTGAATCGGTGCCAGTTATGGACAGCCGTGAGAGGAAGAAAGTCAGGCTTTTTTGGAAACTAGACTTGTTATAAGCACAAATCATCAATCCTTTCTGCCTTTCTTTTCATCCTCTCACCCTCTTCACTACCTTCTTTCTCCTCTCCCCTCATGATCTCATCTCTGTGTTCGTGTATGTTGCTAATCTGCTTCTGCTGTAGCGCTTGTTCTGAGCTCTTTGTCCAAGTGTCTGCAGTCAAAGCAGCTCTTGTTGGCCTATTAAGATGATCCCCCTGGCTCTCAGGCCCCCCATTGAGGGAACCCAGGGGAGGGTGCCACTACACCTACTGTCAATGGGACAGGCACAATGGACTGGCATTGTCCACCGTCTGGGCCCCGGCCTGGGGCTGACACCAACAGTTAATACGCTCCGCCCCAGTGTTCCTGACCCCTCCCTCTGTCCCGCATGCAAACAGACCCACTGCAATGTAACACCAAGGTCTCCCTTAGCCCAGCCATGGAAAACTGTAACAGATCCATGCTGCAAGCTGACCTGAACCAGTCCAAAGCAACTAAACCCGAGTCTAAGTTCTCTGCAACTCTTCTGTAAGAGTGCCACACAATCCAGTGCATCTCAGTAACCAACAAGTGCAACTGAACACCAAAATTTGACTCGCCCAGACAGCATGTGCTTAGTCAGAGGTGTTGATAACCAATATAAAAACCTAAATTTACACAGTTGCCTCAGAGTCACTGGGTTACTCCAGGTCAAAGTTGAACATTTTAGATTAACCAGACTCTTAGATACCAAATGCTAAAGTGCAGCTTCATTTATTTGTACTTTCATCACGGCTGCTGCAGAGTGTTGTTCACAAACACATTGAGCCACACCTTGGAGGCGCTGTCCTCCGAGTATGCTCAGTCCCTGAATGGGCCACCCCAGCCACCAGGCTGCAGGCCCAGAGGAGCCATGTGCGTATGGGCAGGGGAACAATAGTTAAAAATAGAGACATTGTTACTTCCCAGCACCTCCCTGTTCAGACTTGGACGTCAGATCACATGCACTGCTTTGACACACAAGCAGACAAATCTGCCAAACACACAGAGACACACCTCAACAGATATGCCTCACCTAGGGCCCGGCACAAAAAAAACGCTCTGTGACGCATCAGCAAATCCCAGTCATATGCTTGGACTGGATCCAACAGCATTTTCATGACTACAGCATTGTGAATTTCTTTTGAATATGAAATTAGATATTGTGCATACTAGCCAAGGTAAAGGGTAAATAAAAAAGAAAAGAGAGGGAGTTTTTTTCAGTCATACAGCCTTGATCTCCATTAGTCTTGTCTCGTGTATGACTTCTTGCAGTGTGCCACTGTGTTATATAATGATCATACTGCCACACCCAGAGTGACAACAATCAGAGGAAATAGGTTATCTCTTCACCAGGTGGCCCATGGATAAGGACAGCAGCTATTCATACAGGAAATAGATCATCATTTAAGATCTCTGGTGACACATTACTCTGATGAATTAATCATAGTTCGATTGATAGCCCTGTCAGATTTGGCTGAATTCTTTTGCCAACCTCAACCAGCATCAGGCTACTATCCTCTTCTGTTTGATGCTCAGATCAGTTTAGCTCAAATGATTATACTGTAACTTGAAGTGTTTCACTTTCATCTATTTCTGTCATGCACCATTGAAAACCTTCATTATTTGTGTTTTACAAAGCTATCAGATCACAATATGTGTTAGAATGAAGGGACAAAATGGAAAATGATAGCAATAAGAGATCCTTTGATTAAAGAGAAGAACCTGTTAATCAGTGGACACTCATCCTTTTTTCCATTTGAGCTCTCTTTCATTACCCAAATTACTCAAGACTCCCACCACTTCCTATCATCAGTTCCCTCCTTCTGTACAAAATCAGCTTTTAAGCAGCTCATTTCTCCCAGCCCTCCCCTTCTCTATCCTCTTCCTTCACTCTCTGTTTTTCCTTCCCCTCTTTTTTAGCCCAGCCTCTTTTCTCCTGGTTGCCAGGCTCCTGTTGCTCTGTGAACTCTTTAACTTCATGCCTGGTTTCCTGTCTGCTTCTGCACAGCCTCACAAGGTTTCACTTTCAAGCCTGTGCCACAAAATAAGTCTCTGAATAATCTCTCCTCTTTAATTTACTTGCAGCTATCAAGACCTCTTAATTAAACATCATTCTACCAAAATGTGTGACCTTATCCTTGCAAATTCATATCAGAATCAGAATCAAATTCATATTTGCATGTGTCAATATATTCAAGTGTGTGTGTTGATTTTTACTTTTAAAACCAAAAACACATTGGCAAGCATGGGTGACAGGTTATTTTGGCCCAGGCACTAATTGCTTAAAACATTCTGTCAGTTGTGGGTCCTCTTATAAGATGATGCTTGACATGGTGTGGAGAAACATAAATGCAGCAACCAGTGATAGCAAGTGTGGATGGAAAGACAGGTTACACTACTGCCTACACACATTTCTCCTGTGTGAAAATGATTTTGAAAGTGACAAGAAATGTTCCATCTGCAAATGCAGTAGTGACGATGTCTGAAAGAAATGTTGCATTCAAGTTGATGCACCTTAGGCTCATATCCCACAGTGAGACACCTAAAAGCAGTGTAGTAGCTCTTTCTGCACCATCATGTTGTAGTATTGCAGTTAGGGGTGTTGCAACTTACCAGTATTGACAATAACTGTGATATTTAAAATATGAAATAGTGACATCATGTTAAAAGCAAGAAGGTTCTGGGTTCAAGCCCAGGCCAACCTGGCGCCTTTCTGTGTTTCTCCAGGTACTCCGGTTTCCACCCACAATGCAAAGACATGCAGCTTAGGTTGATAGGTGACTCTAAATTGCTTGTAGTGTGGGTGTGTTTCATTGTTTGTCTAAAAGTCAGCCTTGTGACAGACTGGCAACCTGCCTCTCACCCAATGTCAGCTGGGATTGGCTCCAGCCCCCCACGACCCTATTCAGGAATAAGCGATATAGATAATGGATGGATTGATGGAAATGATGTTAATAATACACATATGATAATATTGTAACTAATCCAGGGCCAGTAATCATCGGGTTGACATTCCAACTAAGTAGGTGGTGGCACTATACCTTAATGCTGGTCGCCACCCAATGGAGGAAAAAGAAAAAGAAGACCAACACGCAGTAACTATCTAGGTAGCTACTACTGTACCAGACAGACAGTACACAATAAAGTTAAAGATGAATTTGGCTGATAGCATTATTTTGTTTTTTTTCTTTTTATTTTCTGTAAATATTGTGATTGTAAAAAAAAAAATTCATGACAATGATATCATTGTTTTTTGGGGGGGGGGGTTTTTGGCCCCGGATTTTATTAAATTAGATATTGTGACAGCCCCTATCTGCAATAAAACAAAAAAAGTATGGGCATTATGTCTCTTCATTTGTCACTGAAAAAAATCAGTTTGTCAATTGACTTTTATATCCACTTCCTGTACAGCAACAGGAGCAGGACCCCACCAACCTCTACATCTCCAACCTGCCAGTGTCTATGGATGAGCAAGAGCTGGAGAGCATGCTCAAGTCCTTTGGCCAGGTCATTTCTACACGCATCCTGCGAGATGCCAATGGGACCAGCCGCGGTGTGGGATTTGCCAGGTCGGTCTATAGCACCCGGACATAACTTACTACTCCATGGTGGTCTATCATTAATTGAATACAGTTTGTTTTATAAATAAAAATGAATGTAGTTCTGGCCTAAACAAAACTAAGGGGGATTAAACTGTATTTTGATTTTATTTCAGAATGGAATCTACGGAGAAATGCGAAGCCATAATTCAGCATTTCAATGGGAAATTCATCAAAACTCCACCAGGTGTGCCTGGTATGTGGAATGTTTGTTTTATATTACAGGAACCTGATATTGTTGTTGTTAGTGCCAAAGCTCAGCGTTTTAACTCCCCACAGTGATCAATGAATTCACTCTCTTGTTTGATCTGTTGCATTCACAGTGCCCACAGAGCCCTTATTATGTAAGTTTGCAGATGGAGGTCAGAAGAAAAGGCAGAACCAGGGGAAGTACCTCCAGAATGGAAGGCCCTGGGCGAGAGAGGGAGACACGGTAACGAGGATCATTTTAACTTGCTGTGCTTAGATTTTACATTTTATGTTGGAACTTTAAGTAGGGCCATGTGTAAAGAATGTGGTGACGCTATGTGTGATAGCTGTTTTAGTACAGATTGCACCAGTGTTTGCATGACCTCACTGGTTCTGAATCCTGTGTATTGTTTTCCCAGGGAGCAATGACGCTTACGTATGACCCCACAGCCTTACAAAATGGGTGAGTGGTGTGCACAGACGGACTGAAAACAGTCCCAACCCTTCAGCAAAATAAGCATATGTCTTGATCTCTGGTAAAGTGCCGCCCTCTGCTGGACATGGGAGGAACACAGAAATGTTATTAGTGTAGTGTGAGATGCTGTTGACACAGTGTGGGTGTCTTCTGTTTTCCTCACCCTGTGCTCTGTGTGCTTGGCAGCTTCTACTCCTCACCCTACAGTCTGGCTCCAAACCGAATGATTGCCCAGACTTCGTTGTCACCCTACATGCATTCGCCTGTTTCATCCTATCAGGTGGGACATTTTACTCTATCCATAATATCATTTTATTTTAGCTGCTATGATTTTTAACTTCCTGTATTTTAAGTATTCATTTACCATTGCTTTTATTTTGTCAAGCCTCTTACTGTTCACATTATCTAAGTTAAAACACACTTAGGAAGGAGCCCAGTGTGCAAAACTGATTGTATGTCCCCTGGTTTCTTCCTATTTTTCTGAAACCAGTGTGCAAATTGTGCCATCTTTCCAGTGCCACCGGGAACCATTCTGTACCCATACTGTACAGGGCTTTGCATGTTTTGATAGTTTTAGAAGCACACCTGAGTTTCCACGCCTTTGTTGTGTGCTAGGAAACTAGCAATTCTAACCTTATGTGGTTTTAGAGAGGATCAGAGATGCATAACAATGTTCCCAGCACCACTAAAAACTCTGATTGTGTGCTTGTTGCCTGTATAAATATGTATTTGCACCCGACTTTAGACAGCAGAGGAAATATACCCTAGTTGTCATGCCACCAGGCAAGAAGATCTCTCTTTGTCTATGGGCTCCTCCTGTACTGTAGATAGCCGGGATGAGAATCAGCACCTCCAAATCCGAGGCCATGGTTCTCAGTCGGAAAAGGGTGGCTTGTTCCCTTCAGGTTGGTGGAGAGTTCCTGCCTCAAGTGGAGGAGTTCAAGTATCTTGGGGTCTTGTTCACGAGTGAGGGAAGGATGGAACGGGAGATTGACAGGCAGATTGGTGCAGCTTCTGCAGTAATGCGGTCGATGTACCGGTCCGTCGTGGTGAAGAAGGAGCTGAGCTGTAAGGCGAA